TGTTTATATATAATTAATTTTAAAAATGTTTTGTTTAGGTTACACAAAGGTGAAGCCTATTTGTTATTGAAAGATTTTGCACTCACAATTCGAGCTATCAGGTACGTTATATATTTTAAATATTGATTTCAGAATTTCATAATAATTTTATTGTAATTTTTAAAGTACTGAGCTCACACTTTGAGTCAGATTCTTAAAGATACTATTTAAACTACTGGGTGCTAGGCATTTCAACCCCCAAGTCAATACTGAACTTCTCCGCAACACCCTGTTGCATGGGTTCTTTGATGGAATTAATCCCAAACTCCATTTTTTATAAAGCTCCATCCATCCAGAACCTCAGTCATAGTCATCATGAACTAACAGGCAACAATATTCCTAACTCACATTGACCCTTAGTCACAAAAGTATATGTGAAAATACAGGATACTTCACAGCCTTGAACTTCTGGGGCAAAATAGCAGAGTAGGTACAGGCACTGAGCTGACCCACTGTAACAAAGATGTGGGAGACTGAGAGAAACAGATACAAATGGTAATTCTGGAATACCAAGCATCGGAGAATAGGACACAGAGGTGGATTGGATGCTGTCTAAAAGAAGAAACTGAACAGGAACAGTAAGAAGAAAAATGGGCAAGAGGTGGGCTGGTGTGAAATAACATTACTACCTTGAGCTTTGTGAGTGACTGTTGATACAGTAATCTGTAGACATAGGATGTGATTAGAGGTTGGCAGCAAGCAGGAGCAATTCTCTTTTATCCCCATGCAGTCCTGGTAGCCAACAGTGTGACCAGTCACTACCCTCGCAAACCCAGTGACCAGTGGCACTCCCTCTTGAGCAGCCTCTGCTCTGCCTGCCATCAGGTGCTGGCCATAATACCCCTGCTTCTGGAGGCTCAAGAACCACCACCTCCCTGAACTATGCTCAACACTAAACAGAGAACAGCATTCACATGTCAGGTCCCTACCACATCCACCAGGAGACAGCTGGTGAGTGTCTGAGAACACACCAATATACATTCATCAATTAAATATAAATGTAACACCAAAATGTGATGCTGTGATTCAGAAACTCTGCCATCAGAATTTTAAATATCAACAGTGTCACCCTTGGTGATTTCAGTAGTTTCCAGAATAAAGGCACACTAAGATCCAGAGCCAATGATACCGAAGGATGAAGTCCAAGGTGCATTGAAGGAACTGGCAAAGAAAAAGACACCAGGAATTGATGGAACACAAGTTGAAATATTTCAAGAAAGTGAGGCGACACAGGAGGCACTCATCTATGCCAAGAAATTTGGAAGACAGCTGTCTGGCCAACTGATTGGAAGAGATTCATATTTGTACTCATCCCAAATAGAGGTGACCCAACAGAATGCAGAAATCATTGGACAATATCTTTGATATACCATGTGAGTAAAGTTTTATTTAAAGTAATACAGAAATCACTGCAAGCATACATAGACAGAGAACTTCCAGAGGTTCAAGCCAGATTCGGAAGAGGCCATGCTGATGTTCAACGGATCTTGGCTGAAAGCAAAGAATATCAGAAAGATGTTTACCTGTTCTTTATTGACTATGCAAAGGCTTTCAATTGTATGGATCATGACAAGCTATGGACAACATTGCGAAGTTTGAGTATTCCAGAACACTTAATTGTGCTCATGAGGAATGTATACATGGACCAAGACGCAGCTGTTTGAACATAACATGGGAACACTGAATGGTTTAAAATTATTAAGAGAGGTGTGCGACAGGGTTGTATTCTTTCACCATACTTATTCAACCTATACGCAGAGCACATAATCCGAGAAACTGGGTTATATGAAGAAAAACATGGCATCAGGATTGGATGAAGACTCATTAACAACCTGCAATATGCAGATGATACAACCTTGCTTGCTGAAAGTGAAGAAGACTTAAAATATTTATTGATGAAGATCAAAGAGCACAGCCTTCGGTATGGATTTTATCTTAATGTAAAGAAAATAAAAATCCTCACCACTGGACCAATAAACAACATTCTTACCAATGGAGAAAAGATTGAAGTTGTTAAGGACTTCATTATTCTTGGATCAACTATCAACGCTCATGGAAGCAGCAGTCAAGAAATCAAACGATGTAATGCATTAGGCAAATCTGCTGCACAAGACCTTTTTTAAAGTGTTGACGAGCAAAGATGTCAGCTTGAGGACTAAGGTGCGCCTGACCCAAGCCATGGTATTTTCAATAACCTCATATGCCAAAGCTGGACAGTTAATAAGGAAGACTGTAAAAGAATCAGTGCTTTTGAGTTATTGTGTCGGAGGAGAATATTGAAAGTGCCATGGGCTGCCAAAAGAACCAACAGATCTGTGTTGGAAGAAGTGCAGCCAGAGTGCTCCTTGGAGGCTAGATAGCCAAACTTTATCTCTCATACTTTGGATATTTTGTCAGGAGGGACTAGTCACTGGAGAAGGATATCATGTTTTGTAGGATGGAGGGTCAGAAATACAGAGGAAGACCTCCAGCGAGGTGGATTGGCAATGTGGCAGCATCAATGGGCTCAAGCAAAAGTACTGAGGTTGGCCCAGGATCGGACAGTGTTTCGTTCTGTTGTGTATAATGTCACTATGAGTTGGCACTGACTTGATGGCACCTAACAACAACAACAACAAGGAGAGGCAGATCATTTCTGAGTTTCTCGCCACTGAAAATCTTATGCATAATAGCAGAGCATTACCTGATTTAATGCCAGGGGAGAAGCTGCCTCCTCAATGTAGAGTTAACCTTAACGACAAAGACCTTAATTTACTGATGATTGTCCAACTCAAAATGAGAAGAAAAAGATGCAAAAATCCATTAATTATGAAAATATGAAATATGAATCTAGAAGTCATCAAAAATGAAATGGAATTCATAAAGACTGATATCCTAGGTATTAAAGAGCTTAAATAGACTTATTGTTGTGATGTGCCATTGAGTCTGTTCCAACCCATAGCAACCCTGTATAGGGTTTCCAAGGAGCAGCTGGTGAGCTTGAACTGCTGACCTTGCAGTTCAAACGGCTTTGCAGTCTGGCTCATTAACCCACAGTGCCACACCAGGACTCCTTAAATAGACTAGTACTGGCCCTTTTGAATCTGACAGTCATGTATCAGGATTGGAAAAATGAAGAGGAATGGCATTACATTGATCATCCAAAAGAGCATTTCAAGATTCGCCCTGAAATACAATGTTGTCTGTGATAGGATAATATCTTTATGCCTACTACAAGGAAGACTAGTTAACACCACTCTTATTCAAATTTATCTACTAACTACTAAAACCAGTGATGATGAAATTAAAGAATCCTACTAACTTCTTCAGTCTTAAATTGATCAAACATCAATCAAGATACACTGATATTTATTGGTGATTGGAACGTGAAAGTTTGAAATAAAAACAAAACAAAAAAACCCCCCAAAAACTCGAAAGGTTGGTAGTTAGAAAATGTGGTTTCAATGATAAAAAGCAATGTTGGATACCACATGATAGAATTTTGCCAGTTCAATAACTTCTCAATTGCAGATACCTATTATTCAACAACGTAAATGGTGATTGGTGGCTTTGTTGGATAAGTACTAGATTGTGAACCACAAGGTCAATGGTTGGAGTCCACCAGTCGTTTCATGGGAGAATGTTAAGACTTCCTGTTTCCACAAAGATTTTCAATCTCAGAAACCATATGCAGGGTCACTATAAGTCAGAACCCACTTGACAGCACTAAACAATAACAACATGCATGTGGACCTCACCAGATTGAATACACAAGAATCAAATGGACTAGATCTGTGGGAAGAGATAACACAGGAGCTCAGTATCATCAGTCAACAGAGGCCGGGGCCAATTGTGGAAAAGACCATCAGTTGCCTGTGTGCAAGTTGACACTGACACTGAAGAAAACTTAAACAAGAAGTCCACAAGTGTCAAAATATGTCCTTGCATATTTCCCACCTCAATTTAGAGACATCCTCAAGAACAGATTTGATGCATTCGACACAAATGGCAGTTGTGGGATGGCATCAAGAATATCATACTTGAGGACTTATGGGACAAATGGCAGAGTAGGCAGACAAACTGAGCCAACCCTCTGGAACAAAGACATGAGAGACCAAGTGAAACAGATACAGATGGAACCCTAAGTATCAGAAGATAGCATAGAGAGGTGGATTGAGTGCTGACTGGAGAAGGAAATCAAACAAGAGCAGCGAGATAGAAGAAAAATGACGGACTGTTAGCTGGCGTGGAGCTGCCCAGCCATCTTGAGTTTTTTGAATCGCTGTTCATATGGAGGCCTGTAGGCACAGGAAATGGCAGGAGGTTGGCATCAATGGGGTGCAATTCTCCCTTGTTCTGTACCCTCCTGGTAGCTGGAGACGTGGCCAGTCCTGCTCTTGCCAGCACCTAGTCACACTCCCTTCTGTGTAGCCTCTGCTCTGCCTGGGGTTGGACATCAGGCTCAGCGCCCCTGCTTCTGGAGATGTGAGACCTCACCTTGAACTATGCTACATAAACAGTGAACAGAAAACTACTTTCTCTCACACTTCTGATCTTTACCATATCAATCAGGAGGTAGGTAATGAGTACCTGAGAACATACCATTGTATAAGCATCAATTAAATATAAATGCAACACAACAATGTCTCAGAGAAAACAATTCAGCTTACACACAAAAAAACCAAAGCAAGATAGAGTGCCTCAAATAAGTGACGAAAATACAGAGTCAGGAAAATATAACACCAGAAATGATATGAAAACTACCTTATAAGGAATTTAAAAGAATGTTGATTAGAATATTCAGTGACTTGAGAGAATAATTCCGTAAACTTCAGGTAAAATCAAGGAAAACAGAAAAAACTATGGAACAAAATGACAAAATAAATGGAAAAAATGGGAACTATACAAAAACAGCAATTGGAAAGCCAGAAGATTAACACTAAAACTTCAGAAATAGATAATATACTGAAAGGACAAAAATGTAGGATTGAATCAATGGAAAGTTGGATTAAAGTAAACCTAGCTATAACTCTAAAAGCCAGATCAAGTCTACTCCTAGCTCTCACCCAACCCTTACCCCTGA